TGCTCCTCTTTTGAGAATTGGTGAGTCATGAGTGCATAGATGGACTAATGCATTTGCATCAAGCTTGGTAGGAATAGGATGCACTGGAATGAATTGAAAAGTTTTTTACACTGGGATTCATAGTTTATATAAGAAAATGAGATATTTTAGGTTTCCTTAATGCTTTTATAGATTTTAAAAAATCATTTAATTTTATGCTCAATGCTCATATAGTCTGATGAATTCTTTACTAAATGTTGTTAAGCCAATTCAACTGGATTTCTGTCAATATTAGATAGATGCACTGGCAGGTAAAACATTTTAATGATAATGTTCAGGTCGACCTATATGATAGAAGTGGGAGTCCAGTTTCATTATATTTTCAAAATTGAGAAGAAAAATATTTACATATGATGCGATAATATTGGTGTTGATGGAACTAATGAATTTACCATGTGTTCATGTTGTACTGTATGTCTGCCAAATATTTTTCATGCCATAATTTTCTTTATTTAGATGAATTAGATAACTTGTTAATATTTCATGTTTCTATTGATAAAATCTGTTGTCTATATGAAAAGCTTGTTTTGCATAGACATTGATATCTTGAACAGGAAATTGGTCTCTTTTATTTGCTTACATGTTATGTTGTTGCATTTGTTTGAGATTTGTATCTCATTTATGAGATTTGTTTATGAGCTTGTCTTGCATAGACATTGATACCTTGAACAGGAAATTGACTTTTTTTATTTGTCTTTTTATTTGTCTACATGTTATGTTGTGACATTTGTTTATGAGATTTGTATTGTATGTATTTTTCATTGCTTGCTTTGCTGTCAACTATCCTTGATGTCAATTGTGTCATTTCATGAAAACTATTTTTGACTTCCAAATTTCATGGTACATAGGTCAGCTATGCGCGGTACCATGCCTCAGTTAACCTTCCGGCGCAGTTATTTCAAGAGTCAAAATATGAGAGGTTCTGAAGGATTTAAAGTTTTACCTTCATGGATGTATCTTAAGTTCATTCTACCACCTTCAATAATATCACTCATAAACTCATCAACATCAGACGGAGGTTTTCAAGCAGTTTTCAGTATATCTGTTTATTGTTTCTTTGTAATTTTCCTCTCTCCATTTTCCTCAAGTTTGAAAATAACCAGAAAAAACATCAAGAAAGTAGTAGTGAGATTAACCTGCCAGACGCTCAAGCATCTAGTTAATGAAAGGCAGCGAAAAATGATCTTTCCTGGCTGCTTGATTCAGCCTTCGGTAGTCGATGCAGACCCTCCAACTATTTTGCACTATAGTGGGAATGAGCTCATCCCTCTCATTTTTCACAAAAGTGAGGCCTATCTTCTTGGGGACCACCTGGACCGGACTCACCCACTGACTATCTGATATAGGATAAATGATCCCAGCTTGAAGAAGCTTGGTCACCACCTTCTTCACTACATCCAAAATGACATTCAAGTTTTATTTTTTAGTCATTTTCTTATATTGAAGAAAAAACAGTCTTGAAGTTTTATGTGAATCCTTTTACGAACCCTTTGAAAGTTTATTCTTCTTAATTAAATTATATTATATATGTGTTGGGGTAGTAAGGGTGTCACACATTCTAACGAAAATATCAAATTTTCAATGTCTAAAAAATTTAAATACACCAACCAAACATAAACAAAATATCTTGATAATTATAAAGTCAAATTATACCAACTAAATATTAGAGTCTAATATGTTAAAAGAAATTAAAACATATTATTATTATGCAGACTAGTTGACAAATTTAGTAAATTAAGCTCGTGAAATTTGCATAGACAAAAAAGAAAATTGATATGGTTAGATGAATTTTAAAACTATAAAATAGAGGCAAAATTATAACATAAACATGTTATTAAAAAAAAAAAAAAAGAAGCAAGTTTTCATATATTTACAATTGTCATAACCAATATGAAAAGTCTAACTTTTTATGTGAGAACCATGTATGACATTAAAAATAGCAGACTTTTTATATTACTTATTGGTTCTAAAGTGAAAAATAACAAAAATAATAAATGAAGATTTTTCATAGATCTATGGTGTATAAATTAAACTCAATAAAAATACCAACTTTTGAGTGACAAAAATCAAGCCTCATTAATTTAATATAATTTCGGAATTGGCACAAGAACATGTAAATGGGATCATTCAGTAAAAAGAAAAATGTAAATCGGATCAGGAAACAATAAAATATATTTAATATAATTTAATATATTGCAGTCAACACTCATTGTAACGTACGCATTTTCGTCTCAGTACGTTCTTGCCAACTAGTTTCATTCTTCATTTCTTTTTAGACAATACAATTAATATGTGTTTGTTTTGACGTTTCATCGAAACAATTGAACGTCAATTTATCCTCTTTTACTTCTATATTTCTATCTTGAAAAGTGGAAAAATTGATGTTGAAACAATAAAACAAACACAATCATAGTGTCTAGTGCCCTAATGAAGTGATATAGACAAAATAGGTAGTCATTAGTTTAGGGAAAACCAAGTGTTGACGGAATGGTGTTAGTCAATTGACAATGAAATCTGGTTGGATGATTGGTTCGAGATTTTTTTTCTTCTTCTGGTTTTAATGATGATAATAAATGCAAGAGATAGTGATATAATTAAATAATATATATAAAAAGTAGAAAATATCTCTTATCTCTATCTTAAGTCACTCATTATAAAATAATAAAAAATTCTTAAGTCACAAACTTAATTTTATATAATTGAGTTAAATTTAAATTTAAATTATGAGATAAAGATTTTGTATGTTTAAGTTTTTCTTAAACATATGTTTATTTTAGAAAAAAATGGTTCTACATAGATAATGTAAAATAATTTTATATTATCATATAATTATAAATTATTACATATGATTTTGTTGACTTATAAGATGGAATAATTAAAAAGATATAACAGTGATAAATTTGTAATTAATTAACGGTGTAAAAGCACTTTGTGTTAACCTTTTTTTTTCTTTTGATTTTTCCAGTTTCAGGTTAGGTCTGAGATTGGTGTTCACCCCTATGTGATAGGAAGAGACAAATACAAAAATTTTGTTGTGTAAATAATAATTCTTAAAAATAAATATATTTAATATTTTGAAAATATAAATACTCACCATATAAGATAAGACTAGTATGTCTAAAAACTAAACAGTGGTTAAAAATATCTTTGAAATTTTTTAAGAAAAAGAGTTTTTTTTTTAAATGAGTAGTGTGAAGTGTCATAATATATATATAGGCTAAAAACCTATTTTGGTCCCTTATAATAATTGTTTGTTTCAATTTAGTCTCACTTTTATTTTTTGTTTCAATTTGGTCTTACAGAAGGTGTAACTTGTAAGTGATATGCTCATAGGCCCTCATTTTTCTTTTCCAAAACTCCAAGCCACCAAAGTCCTCCCATTTTGGCAATTGGTTTGTTAATGTTCAACTCTTTTGCTAATGTTACATATTGTTTTGTGCTAGATAATGCAATATATGTTCCGTATATAATTAATTCTGTATAAGGATAAGAAAAAACACACATATATTCATTATATACAATTAATTATATATTTTTATTTATAATTAATTTTTAATTGATTGATCGTGTAAAATCTTTTACACTTCTTTTTTCTTATCAATAAGTACTACTTTTAAAAATTTGTTTATATCATATATTTCATTTTATAATAATTCAAAATAAACATATCTAAATCTGATAGAAAGGTTTATTTTTACAACTTAATTGGGTTGGGCTTCGCCTCTCGATGTAATTTATGCATCGCTATTTAGTCAAAACATCTAGACAGAGACTCTTTTAGTTTAAAACACTTTTGGATCAATTTAGCATAGGTGTATTTTTTCCACAAGCAAATTTTTATTTAGCAACGTAATAAAGGGGTACTCTGATATGAATACAATAGTCGATTAGGATGTTTGATATACATTTTTTACTTTTTTATAAATTTAAATTTAAAAATATTATTTATTACGGTCATATTATTAGGATTAATCTTAGAGCCAACGACAACGAGGAATATTGTGGAAAAAGAAGAATAGTGATGCATTTTTATTTTTACAATAATAAAGGAGCGAAGAAATATTTTGTTGGGGCCCACAGGCTAAAATTGATTTGTTCCTTGGAATAAATAATAGTGTAAATTATTTGGTTCATGATATATACACCTTCTTTTTTCTATAAGTACACCTCCTTTTTTAAAAAAGATAATTAAAATTTTAAAATATTTTTAATTTTTAATTTTTTAATTTTACATCTACAATATTTAATTTAGTATTTTTTTTTCATACATCTTCCTTTTTTTTTTCATAATTTTTACATGCACCCTCTTACCTTTCCTTCACCCCACCTATTTTGGTAGCATGTGAAAACTAAAAGAAAAAAAAAGTGTGTGAAAAAGAAGAAGAAAGTAGAAAATTGAAAATTGAAGGTATAAAATTAGAAAATAAAAAAAAACTACAATATTTTATAATTTAAAAAAATAAATAAAGGAGGTGTACTTAAAAAATAAAGGATGTGTATATATCATGAGCCTTTTTATAAGTGCACCTCCTTTATTTTTTAAAAAACTATAAAATATTGTCATTTTTATTTTATTTTTTAATTTTACACCTTCAACTTTTAATTTGCTACTTTCTTTTTTATTCACATACTTTTTTTTTTCTCTTTCAATTTTTACATGCTACTAAAATAGGTGAGGTGAAGGAAAGGTAAGGAAGTACATGTAAAAATTGAAGAAAAAAAAGAGGAAAGATGCATAAAAATTTACTAAATAAAATGTTGTGGATGTAAAATTAAAAAAATAAAAAAAATTAAAATTATTTTAAAAATTTAATTATTTTTTTAAAAAAGGAGATGTACTTATAAAAAAAAGAGGTGTATATATCATGAAACAATTATTTTGGTAGAAGATCATGAAAGCCCTGACTCCTGAGGCAGGCCAGCCCAATATAAAAAGTTACAAAAAGTGGAACGGTGCTGTAACGGCGTGAGAAACAGGAGGGAAATCAAATTTCGTTTTAAAATGTAAACGCACAAAAAATAAAACCAATTTCAACAGGTACCGCTTTGTTCGCCATTCACTGTCTCTGGTTTCTACCCTCTTCCCTTCCTGCGCCAAACTCACACGACACCAACATTCGCCTATCGATTAGGTTTCTTCTATTCCCTCGCGTTTTCGATTCGCATTTTTCCTATTCAAATTATTTTTCAAAACCTACGCTCTTGCGCTCATAATTTGTGCAATTTGTGGTTTCTATCGCAAATATTTCATGCTTACTGAATCTACCCTTACAGATTAACCACGATGAGGCGTTTTGGTCGGTGAAGTGCGCGTGGCGACGGTGTTCCCAAGCCAGGCATGGCAAAAGTGGCAAAACCAAGTTCCGTGCCTCCGAGCTCTCATCGACTTGGCTCAGGGGCTTTGAAAAGTGGATCCATGGCTAAAAAGAAGACACCTTCGGAACTTAGGGTAAGTTGCCAAGCTCGCTACCTCAACTATGTATGTACTTGGGCTTTGATTCTAGCATTCGATGCGTAATGGTCTTATTGTTATACTTTTGTGAACCATTAGGGTCAGCACTACTGACGGCTTAGTGGTGAGAGTTAGGGTGGTATGAATCTTGTAGTTGTTATTGTAATTCATACCCATAGAAGAAAAATTGTTATACTTTTGTGATATATAATTTCATTTTCACTGGTCCAAGAATGAGTTACTGTATGCGCTTTTTGCTTGACTAGGTAGTAGGTACATGCTTTCAAGGTGTTTCCATTATGTAGGTAATGTATAAATATAAATCATGACCAACAAAAACATAAAAATAAGCATTAAAGGCAATAGTATATGATAGAAATGGAAAGTGTATCCTAAGAGGAGTTCCACTAAAAATGCTAAAAAGATTGTCTAAACTAAAAGGACTAGACTCTCTAATGCTAAGGATAGGATCCTCCCCATGGTGAAGTCTAGGTGTATAACTAAAACCTAAAAAGGTAAAAAGACTAAAACTATAACACACTAAAGCACTAGTCCTAAGAACTAAAATATCTTGTTGGAGGTACCCAATGTAGTGACCTAGGTATGTATTGGAAAATAAAGAAAACTTAACTAAAAAATTACCTAAACAACTTTGTATTGCATTATTTGTTAGATACATATGAGAAAAAGGTGTTAAGAGGAGTCTAGAAAACTCATATAATTTAAGTTTGTCTTGAAGGGAAGTAACCAAGTTAAGTTCAAATAAGTTTGAACTTCTTTCAAGATCAAAAATAGAAGATACAACACCATGAGATGTATCCAACAAACCATACAAACTAAAAGTTGGGTGCTTTATGAAGAGAACTAAAGTAGAAAGAGTTTTAAAGAAAGAAGGCTTATCTTCCTTGGGCACCACGAAGGAAGTAGCACAAGAAGTAGGACTAAGTGAAATCCAATTCTTCTTCACTAATTCTTGAAGCTGAGAGTCATTTTCTTTAAAAAACATTTGTTTTTGAATCTCCACTTCATGAGTAGTGGTAACATGAGAGAAAATGTTAAGGTCTTGATGAATAAAGAAAGTCTTTTTCAAATCATTTTCAATGGTAAAGTGACTTTATTTAAGCATAAGCCCTTTGGAAGAAATATTATTCTTTTTACTCTTATCTAAGAGTATTGTTTGTTTTTCTTTTTCTAACCACTCTTCAACTCTCTCTATACTTTTCTTCTTGTTTTCTTTCTTTATTTTTATTTTCTTTTCTTTTCCTTTCTCCTAAGTTCTTCCTTTCTTTTTGTATTTTCTTCCTCATGCACACTCTTAGGGATTCTAACCTCTTCGGCTTTTTGATACCTAGTTGGAACAACCCTAGGTTTGGATCCATTTGTTTCTCTCCCTTCAACTAATTTTGCATGTAATTGTTTTATTTCCTCATTATTTGTTGCATTTTCTTTTTCCCTTTTTCTAATTTCTTCCTCTCTTTTTATATTTTCTTCCTTTTTTTTCTCAAATACTCTTTTAACTTTCTAAGTTCATCTCTAACACTATACCTAGTACTATGATAATTATGACCATGTACACTAGAATGATCACTCATCTTTGTTCAAGAAAAGGTTTTCACAAATTTGTTTCAACAAGGTTGGCAAAAAGGTTTTCACAAAGATTGAGTGATCAAAAGGTTTTCACATAAGGTTTTTAAAGGTGCAAGATTGGTATAAAAAGGCCTAAGTGTACAAATTTAACTATCAAAGGGAGGTGGACTACAAGGAATCACTTAAAAATCAAGCCTTTTCAAGTATGAATCACTAAGCCTTTTATTTCATGTTTCTATTGATAAAATCTGTTGTCTATATGAAAAGCTTGTTTTGCATAGACATTGATATCTTGAACAGGAAATTGGTCTCTTTTATTTGCTTACATGTTATGTTGTTGCATTTGTTTGAGATTTGTATCTCATTTATGAGATTTGTTTATGAGCTTGTCTTGCATAGACATTGATACCTTGAACAGGAAATTGACTTTTTTTATTTGTCTTTTTATTTGTCTACATGTTATGTTGTGACATTTGTTTATGAGATTTGTATTGTATGTATTTTTCATTGCTTGCTTTGCTGTCAACTATCCTTGATGTCAATTGTGTCATTTCATGAAAACTATTTTTGACTTCCAAATTTCATGGTACATAGGTCAGCTATGCGCGGTACCATGCCTCAGTTAACCTTCCGGCGCAGTTATTTCAAGAGTCAAAATATGAGAGGTTCTGAAGGATTTAAAGTTTTACCTTCATGGATGTATCTTAAGTTCATTCTACCACCTTCAATAATATCACTCATAAACTCATCAACATCAGACGGAGGTTTTCAAGCAGTTTTCAGTATATCTGTTTATTGTTTCTTTGTAATTTTCCTCTCTCCATTTTCCTCAAGCTCTTATCCTCCCTTTTCATGCCATAGAATTGGAGTTCTTGAGGAAACGACAAGTAGCTTGGGAAGAATCCTTTCGGGACCTCTATTACATGCTGCGAAAGAACATTTATGGTCTTTTTTATGGTAATTGTTCATTATCTTCATTTTCTTTTTGTCAAATAGTGTTGTAATCATTATAAAAATATGTTTATATGATGCCTTGCCTTTTCTATTCTTCTGGATTTTTTTGTGTCTGCTTGTGAGATGTAATTTATCCTGTTTCTGCATAAAGAAAAACTATTATGATAAAAAAAATACAGTTGTTTCTTGTGATATTATTGATGCTGACTTAATTTCTATTGTTTTAACCTTCCAACTTCATTATGCGTTATTTTTTGTTAACACTTTACATCTATTTATTTATATTGGAATATGGATTTTGCAGGTGTAATGTTTTTTTTTTCCCTTTTCTAGTTTGCACTACCCGGTTTGTTAAGAGATATATCGTATTATGTGTAGCTTATTTATAAGTTTCTAATCGCATAGTGTGATAGTTTTTTGGGGAGAGTTGGTAATGTTAAGAATGATATTTCATTGATGGTATATTTCCAGATCTAGGAAAATCTCGGTGAAAGTGTAATAGGTACAAGTAATTTTATTTCTTGTCTTGCTAGGTTTTTGTCAGAGTAGTAGTCTCATTTTAGTTGTCACTTGCCAACAATTTCTGTGTTCAAGTAGAACATGGCAAGAGCATAACGAGTAACAACTCAACAAGGGATTGACTACAAACATTTTTAACTTGAACGAAGTTTATTGTTCTATACAAGTACTCGTGGTTTTTTAGGGCTTTTATTCTATATTGCTTATTTGTATTTTAGAAAGAAAAAAACTCCAGTATAACTTTTTTTAAGATAAAAATATATTTTTTATTTTTTTTATTTTAAAATATTTTAGTCTCTTAAAACATTAATTATTTGTTTTATAAAGTCTTATAATATATTTTTAGTCTCAACAATTTAACATAAATGTATGTTTAAAGTCCCTTACGGGAGGCTAACAATATCTCTTTTAATTGTATGGATGAACATTATTTTTAAATAGAAATTAAAACTAAATTTGAAAATATTTTTATGAACTGTATGGATGAACATTATTTTTAAATAGAAATTAAAACTAAATTTGAAAATAATATTTTTATGAACGTATAATATATTAAGGGCGTGTGTTGAAAAAGGTATTGTCAAGAGGGAGAGGGCAACTCTCTCGAACTCCCGCATTTATTTTGTAGGTAATCCCCACAAAACCAAGTCACTCTTTGCCTGGAACTACACCTTGAAATCAACCTTCATGCTTTCACCAAACAATTAATTAATGAAGAAAACAAAAATCCCATGAACTATTCACACAATTTCACCCTTTCACCAAACAATTAATTAATGAAGAAAACAAAAATCCCATGAACTATTCACACAATTTCACCCTTTCACCAAACAATTAATTAATGAAGAAAACAAAAATCCCATGAACTATTCACACAATTTCACCCTTTCACCAAACAATTAATTAATGAAGAAAACAAAAATCCCATGAACTATTCACACAATTTCACCCTTTCACCAAACAATTAATTAATGAAGAAAACAAAAATCCCATGAACTATTCACACAATTTCACCCTTTCACCAAACAATTAATTAATGAAGAAAACAAAAATCCCATGAACTATTCACACAATTTCACCCTTTCACCAAACAATTAATTAATGAAGAAAACAAAAATCCCATGAACTATTCACACAATTTCACCCTTTCACCAAACAATTAATTAATGAAGAAAACAAAAATCCCATGAACTATTCACACAATTTCACCCTTTCACCAAACAATTAATTAATGAAGAAAACAAAAATCCCATGAACTATTCACACAATTTCACCCTTTCACCAAACAATTAATTAATGAAGAAAACAAAAATCCCATGAACTATTCACACAATTTCACCCTTTCACCAAACAATTAATTAATGAAGAAAACAAAAATCCCATGAACTATTCACACAATTTCACCCTTTCACCAAACAATTAATTAATGAAGAAAACAAAAATCCCATGAACTATTCACACAATTTCACCCTTTCACCAAACAATTAATTAATGAAGAAAACAAAAATCCCATGAACTATTCACACAATTTCACCCTTTCACCAAACAATTAATTAATGAAGAAAACAAAAATCCCATGAACTATTCACACAATTTCACCCTTTCACCAAACAATTAATTAATGAAGAAAACAAAAATCCCATGAACTATTCACACAATTTCACCCTTTCACCAAACAATTAATTAATGAAGAAAACAAAAATCCCATGAACTATTCACACAATTTCACCCTTTCACCAAACAATTAATTAATGAAGAAAACAAAAATCCCATGAACTATTCACACAATTTCACCCTTTCACCAAACAATTAATTAATGAAGAAAACAAAAATCCCATGAACTA